ACGCATCAGCGCTAATTATCTCACCATGGGTACATAACAGCAGCAGCAACAAACCATAAACCCCCTAAAATTAGGTCCTCAGCGGATAGCACCTAAGGCTCATCCTATTCCTCCCTTTCCCCTCCTTTTTTCACAGCATCAGAGGGCAAATCAGAGCAAAGTGATGAAGGCCAAGCCAAATAGCAAAATAGGCCTCCCATCCCCCCTGACGGGCCTTCCCCGACAAACCTGCCGGACAAAACACGCGGCTTAGCGGTTGGATCCGCTTGATGCTGGCCCCCGGGTGCGGGCGTGTGACGTGGACGAGCGGGTGAGTTGGAGCCGGGTGGGAGAGGGACAGAGATTGGCCAGCAGGTTGGCTCAGTCATAGACGCGTATGCTATACTCTCCGTGTGGGAACTCTCACTATCCTAGCAGCTACTTGCTAGCAGCCATTAGCCTACCTTATTTTGCCTGCCCACCTACCCACCTAACAGCCTACTTGCCTTCAGGGCCGGTGACTAATATCATTCTTACTTCCGCATCGTGCCACCCTTCCCAGAGCCGAATCCCGGCTGCCACAGAGTTGCACAACTGCACAGTGCGCCAAAGCTGGCCAAATGGATGCCTGTAACACCTCCCATTCCCCGTCATGGCGTAGCAGCTTGTTCATTACCATGATCGCTGCTCGCATAGTACAATACGGCGATCTGTCCGTTCTCTGCAAAATCAACATGTGACACGGTACACCCGCCCATACACCATCCCAACCGGTCAGGCCATCCGCCTTCACCTGCTGAGTCCCAAATCTCCACCCGGAAACCACCCTTACACCCAAGCACCCATAGTCGCCTCTAGGGCCCCCTCCCGGCCCCCCCCTTACCAGTTGGTGATGAAGGCCTCCCGCCAGCTGCTCCGGTCCGCAGCCCGGGGCGGCTCCAGAACCACCCTCAGCCCCAACCGCCGTGCAGCCTCAATCACACGGACCTGAACCAGCCCAGGCAGCGCGGCGTCCGCTTGCCGCCCGCAAACCTGCAGCGCCACCTGCTCCTCCTCCTTCTCCTCTTCGCCCGCGTCCTCCTCCATGTACCCCACCTTCTCGCCTGGTCTACCAGTGATTGGGCTATGGCGGGGAAGGGCTGCGGGCGCCAACAATTCGGCCCCCGTCGGCGCCTTCGGTTTCGGATTCGGATTTGGGGATCTGTCGATCCAGGTAGTGGCGGTCGATCTAGTCGACATTCACTCATGTTGGGCACAGCGGCCAAGGAGGGTAGCGGTTGTGGTGGTTGTGGTGTTTCTGATGGGGTGGTGTTGGAGCGCTGCTGTTGGGAGGATGTGTTTCTAATGTTGGTTATGACGGCAAAGTTGGTTGTAAGGCCCTCCAAAATGCGGCCGCTGACGTCAGACAGAAGGACCTGCAGTCGTCACAATGGGGACTGGGATGGGGGTGAGGACGGTTGAGGTTAGGCGTGGGGCTGGACAAGTGACGGATGTAAAACCGATGCATATGAAACACGCAGTCGTGGTGAATAGCGGTGGGGCGGGTAGGGACAGGTAAGAGGAGGAGATTGAAGTGAAACCCAGCACTTCGACCACACTTCAAATTTTTTCTCCTCCTCCTCCTACTACTACTNACTACTGTACGGCCCCCCCCACCCCCCCCGC